TCTTTTTACGGTCTCCGTTCTGGCCGGGGAGCTCCATGTCCTCGAACAGAGTCGAGGGCCGTCGCGGCGTAGGAGCTCCATCGGCAGACGACCGCATCGCATGCCCCGTCTTCCGACTCAATGAGTTGGCTTTGAGTAAGGTAGCTGATGGGTCACTCGGCGGCGCAGGAGGCTTCCGTACGGGGAACAGCACTTCCGGCTTCTTGTCCTCGTAAGGTGATTGGCGTGGCTGGTCGAAATCGACGGTCCTGCCGTGAATACCATACGGCGTAGTAGCACTCTCTGGCGTGTTGCCGGAACCAGCAGCTTTACGTCTCTTTTCGAGGTACTCACGCTGCTTACGCTCCATCTCGGCACGATACTCGCTTGCTTCTTGAGCAAGCATCTTGTCATCTACCCTTTCGCCGGTCATGGTGTTTTGCCTCGATGTTGGGGGAGAAGAGCTGGATCTTGTCCGCGACAACCCGTTCAGTCGGTTGTATGCCTCCTCGTCAAGGGATGTATGCGTTGGGTTGCCATTGGCGTGGCTAGAGCCTTGAGGCGCATTTCCACCTTGACGGATGAAGAACTTGAGAGCCCCTGTTGCATCGGCCCTATGCTTGCGATTATTTAGGAGTTTCTGGTCGTCCAGAGGGTTCTCATGGTTAAATTTGCCAAGCTCTGTGAGGTAAATTTGAGATGTCGTGGCATCCATCAGACCCAAGTTGCTACAAATGACGAGACGAAGGTCCATGGCCGATTCGGCCTCGGTGATGTCGCACATGCGATAATTGTATCCGTCCAAGGTAGCCAGCGCAAACACTCTGTTAGGGCCAGGACGTCTAGACTTGGCCGAGTCCTTTTCGTGAACATCAAAACTGGATCCAGGTCGAATGTCCAAAGAGGTTTCGCTGTTGTTTCCAAAGCGGGAGCCAAAAGAATGAGGCTTGAAGCTGAGAGCTGGAGACGTCGGCGATTCCATGTCGTCGGGGCTTGGGAAGCCGTCTTCTTTCTTTTGCTTGTTCTTTCTCGACAAGAAGCTGAGACTGAGGAAACTCTTAGAATCCTTAGCAGAGGACGGAGGCTCGGTGCCGGCTGAACGATCGCCAGTAGAATCCTGCGGCGATGGACGCCCTCCGTCTTGCCCGAGCCGCCGAGGCTCGCCGTTTCGAGTGGCTTGAATGATGTCTGCAATGTTCATCCCACTACGCAGCATTTGAGTAGCTTCAGGTGGGATACCTGACCCGTAAATAGCGGCGTTGGAAGAGACAGAATCTGTGCTATTTCTCGACCTGTGTCCAAACTTGGTCGAATGAGGAGACGCTGACATGTTGCCAGCGGAGGAGGGGAACAGCGAAGCGCTCTGAGGATTTGGACTGCCGTTCGGGCTGTCGGTCCGCAAGGGGGGTGGACGGAATGTGCCCTCGCCGGACTCGCTGGCATTTGGACTTTGCCGGCGGACCCCATCCCCATCAATCTGCTTCATGATGTTTCTGTGGCTTGAATCCGAACTCATGGTGCTGTTTAGAGTTGGCATGGTCGTCGATCTCGTTTGCGAAAATCGACGGCCGCCAAAACCAGGCCCCGGCGCTTTGATAGGCGTCTGCCGTCCATCAGTCTTTGGGTGTTCACCCACACGGGTAATCATACTCACGTTGGGAGACTCTGCCATATCCGTCCCAGCGCTAGGTAAGTTATTGCCGTGGTTGACCGACTCTTTTCGGCCATGCGACGAGACTTTGGAAGGGTCAGCCGGCCGGCCGGTCACGATGCTTCTGATGAGACGTCGCATTCTTTTGCCTTCTTCTCGCTCCCGCGGCTGATCCCAGCCCGTCCCGCTGTTTGTGCACTCGACAGCCAATCTTGGGTACACTTGCTGGTGCATCATGCCAAAGTTACCCCGACCACCGTGCATACTACCGAGCTCAAGGAAGTGAGCACCATGCAGATTAAGCCCCTTGAAAGTCTCCTGCCAATCCTTGGAGAATTGATTCGTAGCCAGCCACAACAGCACCTTTTCCAACGGCCATTGCGCCGCCAGCTCTGGGTGGATGCTGGAGGTGCTAATTGACGTGGCATTGGAGGTCGTTGACATCCCACGGCTGTGCATTGCTTGAGCGTACATTCTGTCTCTCCCTCCTGACACATCGTCTTGCGGCGTGGTCATTGCAGTATCACCGCTGGTCTGACTGTTGGTAGGCCATGAGCTCTGAGAGGTTGCCGAGAATGTGGCATTTTCGTCAAAGCCGCCTAGACCAGGTATTCCAACGCCTTCGCCATACGTGTCGCCTTGCGGTATGTAGGTTGCCGACATAACATGTTCGTTCGGTGGAGGTGGCGGCGGTATCGATAGTGTCGTTCCTGTCGCAACCTGCGCGTGTAACTTTGGATTGTAGGCCTGGTGTTGTCCAGGTGGGGGAGGTGGCATATTGAAGCCGCCACGACCGTCGTACATGCGCCCAAAAGCGCCGTGCCATGGTGCTTGGCCTGCCATTGCGCTTCCAGGCGGTGGCCCTGGAGGCGGCGGAAGCATCATTCCACTTCCTCCCGTTGCGCCAGGAGCAGAAGGAAATCTCGGGGGCGGAGGAGGTATCGACATCATGTTGCTCATCTGGCCTTGCACGGGCGGCGACATAGGCGGCGGTGGAGGGGGGACCTGGAAGGGCCTCGAGGGGTCGGTCGAAGAGGCATGTCGCTGGGTGTTTTGATACATGGCCGGCGGGGGAGGCGGGCCAGCTCTGGTGGCTGGCCTCGCGGGATCGAGCCCGAGTAGAGGTGTTGTCGGAACGGAGCTCGCAGTCGAGGCCCTCGGGCGAAGACCGCCGGCGGAAAGAAAGTTGGAGTTCCTCGGCTGAGGATACGGCGAGAGAGCGCCGTTACCGTTGATGTTCGGAGACAGGATCTTTGGTGTTGTCGAGCTCGTCGTCGAGGTATGGGTGGGTAAGTCGTTGACGTTGAAGACGAAACCGTCGAGATTGTGTATCTCGTCTCTGGATCGAGGCACAGATGGGAATGGGCTCGAATTTCGGTCGTGGGTATCAGATCGGGTCGCAGAGCGTTGGCGCGAGCTGGTGCTCATGGTATGCCAGGTATGGATGGTATGGGTACGCGGCACATGGCAGGGGTGGTGGTGTGGGCTGGTGGGCGCGAGCGGGCCTTCAGACCGTAGTCATGTTGCGGTAAGGCGGCGACTGTCGCTGTATTGGCACCAGGGCGTTATGCCTAATTATCGTAGATCGTGTTGGTGGTCTTGGCGAGCAGCTGCTTGGAGTTTGACTCTCTCGGGCGCGCTAGGTATATCTGGAGGAATTCGTCAGGTTGTAGGAATGTTGAAGAGAAGAAGACGAGAACCGAATGGGGACTTTGGACGGGAGAGAGGGGTGGGTGGTATGTGAATGTAAGGTAGCAGCCGTTCAATGTCTTTCAGCTTACGGATGTGGATAGGTAGTGGCAGACTGGCAGGGTACTGGTATGTTGTGCAAAAGCGGGCAGATAGAGGCAGAACAGAAGACAAGCCCACAGAAAGGACAGTACCTACACTCCGTACCCTGAGTGCGTGAGTACTTTGTAGCGCGCTTAGAGAATGGCGGATGCGTGTGAATGCTGGAGGCTGGGCCGCGACGAGGTGCGTCTACACTAACTCTTTGGGCTAGTGTTGGCAGGCTATCTCTAAGACTGCAGCGAGTGGCGGCAGAGCATTCGTAGATGGGATGAGACTGTTCGAAACTGGCGTGGGAAGTGGACGTTGGCTTCGGCTCTGGCGTGCGTTATCCCACGCACACGCAGCTTTTGGCGGGGGGCGGATGTGCCGTGCAGATCTCCGGGCCAATGAAGGCACCGTGAGGGTGTGACGAGGGGCTATTCGTACAGCCTATCCGTCCGGCAACGACCTCTTGCGCTGGTCGTAGGATGGAAGAGTGCGACTCGTGGGTTTCTGGCTGGTAAAGAATCCTGTGTGGGCTTCGGCGCAGACGATACAAAGGCGCAATCACGGGTCCTTTTCAGAACGATGTCAGGACTCGGTGATGGTCAGTGACTCGTTTTGGGTATACCGTATGAATCGTCGTCGGTAACAGCTTGTACAGATAGAGCGCGATCAAAGACAATGCTCATGTGTCGTCGTGTTTCCGTGTTCGTGGTGGTTTGTCCAAGTCCAAGATGTTGCCGTCTTGTTCTCGGCAGCAGAGGCCAGTGGAAGCCAGGCGCGCGCAGTGCAACCAACAAATGGAAAGGACCTGCCTGCTTGGTTGATTCCTTGCATGAGCACACAGCACCTCATCCCAAAGGTACGTCCTCGCAACCATTACATCGGCTTACTCAGCTGGGAGAGGTCTCGAGGTACGAACTTCGTACAGATACCGGTACTTTCAGGATTCTCTGTTTCATCCCCAAATCCCAATGTCCGCTAAATCCAATTCCAGCCTCATCTCAAGATCCAAGAGTAAGACACACCTACTCCAGAAAGCAGCTAGACCCAGATCAATGAATCCACCCGCAACCCGACGCAGGGCCCCGTCTGTTTCATTTGGGCCTTTCCAGGTTTGCATGAGGGGCCGGGTAGCGGGTGCCCACCTCGCGCTACCTTATTAACCTGCCGCTCTAACACGAACAATTCATTTCAACTCGACCCCCTTTGCTCGATATTTTCAAATTGAACGAGGTGCCATCACTCGTTTTTGATACCGATGGAGATGAATAGTCATTTGCAAGTCGCAAAGTAAGGGGTTTGCAGTTCAGATGCACAACTACCAGATGCAGCACACTGCATGAGAATAAGTGCTCATCGGCGTGCACAAATTGAGGTACATGGCTGGGTATCATCGAAAGCGTATTGAAAGCATCAGTGAATACCAACCAGAACCAATCACTCCTCTTAAAGCAGCAAGGCACACAAGCGCTCCTCCAAACCTCCCCGCCGCCAGACCGACGAACCGGTGAGCCGCGATCCTCGCAAAATGCAGCCAACCGCCAGCATGGCTCTCGACGTCTCATTCGCCAGAATCCGACAAGCGCCATCTTAAATGTCTCCGGCTCCCCTTGTGCCCTCCTCGTCCTCCAACTTGTATCCTCTGCTGTCCTCTTTCGTCCTTGAGAGAGAATCAGGAATCAAGGCCCAAAGTTCTTTCAGGTTCCAACCGTGCGACGTTTGAAGTACCCGTGCCGCATTATGGTCTACCCCAGACCCGGCCGCCGGCCTTAGTCCCCGCCCCCGGTCCCGCAGGAGCTTCTTCGCCTTGGAGCATTTTCAGCCTCAACCTCAAGACGCAGCTGCGAGTTCTCAGCTCATGGGTTTCACTCAACCTTCACTTTGGAAGAAAAAAGATGTTCTGCTCAGGAGATCTTTGTGTCTCGCCATTAATGGTTACTCGCAAAATATACCTACTCTTCGGCGCAATCGCCAAGCATCGCTACTCTCTCCCTCTCGAGGCCCAAACACCTCCATATTGCATATCAACCACATATAGAAAACACACTTATAGTATCATCTACCACTACCCCATTCCCAGCAACAGTTCGTTCATTACCGGGCAAGAGGCCCAGCTGGCCGACGTCATCCCCCACCACTGAAACCAATATCCACAACCGTACAGATCATCGACGACATGGATTTCCATTCCACCTGGCGTTGTCTTTCCGCTATAATGCAATTGACCTCACCGAACAAGCACATACGACCACACCCATCGGAAAATTCGGGATCCCGTCCGCTCTCCCATAGACAAGCCGATGAGGGCCAGATCAGTAGTTGAGTCGGTGACGATCAGCGAATACCTGGTGATGTATGTTTTTGGCCTTTTTTTTTTTTTTTTACCGGCCAAGGTGTGTTATATGTCGCTAGCCATATCTCATCCCACAAACTGAACCGTCGTGTCCCTGACAACTCGCGGATGTGCCATGTATGATGATGTTGCAGCCGAGCCGCCGCCGGGGCCGGGAGTGCATGAACCACACCACCCGAGCAGCCGACACAAACGCACGTCAACGCTGCATCAGAGAAGCATGAGACAAGTTGCCCGGTGGACCACCAAGGACAAGAAAAGTTTAATTGTAGACTGCAGAAGAAGGGGGAAGGGGGGGAAAAAAGACTGCCGCTTGACCATTCCTGTCCGAAAACCCGATGTAGGAGGACTACTACTAATGAGAATCGGGTAGGTACCTTAGTCAAGTCAGCTAAGCGCAAAACTTAGCCCATCATCGACATGCGTGTCATCGCAGACTAATGTACCTAATCTTACTAAGGTGATGTTGAAACATCGGATGTATTTGCAGGGTCTCTCGGTTTGTCTTAGTTGCTTGCTAGATATGAAAGATTAAGGGGCGATTAGGGACACGCTCCACTCAACATTACGTTCAAACATCACGAACAATTACGGGAGGTCATCATAAGCCAACAAGTATGCTCCCCATTAACTCCCTGATAGCCAGAGGTGTGCCTTGAAAGCCGCCAAAAATCCTTCGCCCTCTTCATTGCTCTAAATGTAAAGAAAAAACAATGCCTGCAATAACCACCTCTTGACCATCACATCATGGGCGGGCCGTGTGGCGGACCCTGTTCGTATCTCTGGATAACCTCGCCTGGCAACTCTTCTCATCCCAATCCTGACCATAACACACTCTTTACATCACGCTGCACCTAGCGTAGTTCTGCTGGCACTGCTCCAGGTACCCCATGTCCTCCTCGGATCCTTCGACGATGTTATGCTGCCTCACCAAGCCCGTAACCTTGAGCGTCTGCTCCCCGTCCGCGTGCCACCACCTGAGCTTCTGCAGCAGCGGGCCCTCGTCATCATCCATGCTGATCGCCCACTTGCCCGACGACACCTCGACCGTGCAGTTATCCTGTGGGTAGTGAAACTCGGGCAAGAACACCACCGTCGGCGCCGTCTCGGATGGAGGCGCGGCGGCCTTGAGCTTGAGCGTAAAGGTGCAGCTGCGCAGGTCGAAGCCGTACTCGAGCACGTCGCCCGCCACGACGACGGGGGTCGGCCGCACAAAGGCCTCGGCGGCGCGGAGGCCCGGCGCGTTGGTCAGCTCTGGGTCCTTGGAGGGGGCGGATGATATCGACGGGTTCGTGATTGTGCTTTGCAGGTTTTCCGGCGTGACGGTCGATTCGTCCGGAACGTCTCTGCTCATGGAGTTGCGCTTGAGGTCTGACGACGGGTTGGGTGATGGGCTGCGGGGGAGAGGCGACATGGGTAGTGTCTTGTCGTCTAGTGAGAAGACTGACAGATCCTCGCCGTTCCAGAGATCACCGTGCTCGTGAGTGTTCTTTAACGTGTGTTAGCTAGGGTGACATCGCGCATGAGAGAGGTTGCTTACCTTTGCAACGTAAACCCACAAACAGTGGCCTTCCATACCCGAGCCTTCGGCACCAAAATAGTTGGCATCCAAGGCAGCTGACTGATCCGAGTAATCTCCCGTCTTATACGCTTTCTTGTCGCCCATATCGTATGGGATACCGAATTCCGTCATAACACATGGGTGATTACCCATTCTATCCAGGCCTTCTTGCCGCAATGACGCAAGCTGGTCTTTGAAGCAGTTCCGAATAGCAGTCTCACCGACCTTAACAGAGAGTGCCTCGTGCCAGTATCGCCCGCGCAACACGCCAACAACGTCCACGTTCCATACTCTGTTCCATCGTTTCGTCATGAGTGTAATACCATCGTACCAATGCGGTGAAAAGGCCATCATCGGATCGTCGTCGGCGGTGCCTTTGATCTGAGGTGGTAGCTCTAGTGTCGGGTATTGCATCAGCATAATGCAGTTCTTGTGAATGGGGCGGATAGCGTCTCTGTATAACCGGTAAGAGTCCATGAAATACGTATTAGTAAACTCTGGGTGGTCGATCGTTTTCCCGGTCCTAGGGTTTTTGGAAAAGTAGTCCTTCTTGACCAGGGTATCCGTCTTCGTATCCCAGATACCGTGCTGAGCCCAGATGCACTCGCCGAGCTTCCAACCCTCGTCTCGCTTCCAGCCGTATCTCGAGTCGTCATAGTCGGCGGGCAGCCAAGCCATCTCACCGTGGGGGTCAATCAGTGAACGACCGACCTTGTACGGGCCCATGCCACCCATGTCCCACGTTTCCACCTCGCAGGCGCGGCCAGATCCCGTGAGGAGCGTCTGCCAGATCGTCGGGCACGAGCCCTTCTTCAGCTTCTGCGCATTGGGGATGACGGCGATATCCTGGTAGCCGACCAGACCGCAGCCCGGCTCGTTCATGCTCTCCCACCCGATGACAACCTCGTTCTCGAGGTCGCCGGCCTCGTGTATGCGCTTCGCGAGGTGCGCGCAGGCGGCGACGAAGTGGCCCTGCAAAAAGTCCTGAATGTTGATGCCGTTAATGATGCACTTTGGCGCAAAATCCCTGCCGCCAAAATACATGGTGAAGATTGTCGCGGCGGCGAGACGCCAGTAGTTTGTCGACCAGATCATCTTGGGGAACTCTTCGGGCTTCGGGTATGTGTTGTGCACGATCGCGGCCTCGGTGGCGGAGAAGCTCTGCGGGTTGAGGCCGCAGGCGTAGATTGTCCACATTGGGGCGCCAGAACCACCACAGTACCTCGACCACTGTAGGATTGGTTTGTTAGCCTTGGGAACCACATGATGGGGGAGAGAACAGTCAGACATACCACGTCCTGGTGAGGGTCCATGAAGATGTAAAAGCCATATTCTTTAGCTATCCTCAGAATCTCAATCGTATGCTGGATCCATTCTTCATCGTAACGTCCTGGGCCAGCGGCTTCGATGGCCTCCCAGGTGAAGACGTAACGGATGGTGTTGTATCCGTAGCGCTTTATCCTCGAGAAATGAACGTGAGCCTCGTCCTTGGGAAAAGGACGGTTGTGAAACTTGACATTGTCGCCATCGAAGAAGTCGTCGCCAATGTGCGAGGGTTGATCTGGCTCGCTGGGGAGCTTGGCGTCGGCGGCGACATTGAGGCCTCGAAGCACAACTTGTCTACCGTAGCCGTCGCGGAACTGGCCGTCTTCGATAGTCAATCGAAATGTGGACATGGCGAGGGCTTGTGTTGTCGAGATCTGGCAGTGCTTCTCGTTCGCTATGCCGCCAAGGTGCAATGACGACGTCCTGGAGCTTGGAGAAGGAAGAGACAAATTCAACTTTGCGGTTTCGAGATAGGAGAGCAGCAGGACACACGCGCAGCGACTGACGACGGCGGACTGCACGGGTCACGAAAGGTCCGAGATTGGAATAATTGGGACGGTTCGATGACGTCCTGACGGGGTGCCCTGATTAGCGGGATGCGCAATGTCAGTCGACGGGTGGAGGTACCTTATCGGGCCCAGCGTACGGCTTGAGCGACCGCCAAGCGCTAAATCCTTCGGGGGCCTTTACCTTAAGCGAGTACAAATGGTCTACCCCCCTGCCGAGCAGTCCATTACTTTGACCTTGAACAATGGAACCGTTTTGTTTCCGTGGCTACGGGTTTAGTTGAAGAACAAAGCAAGCAACCCAAGGTAAAGTAATTCAAAAAAGAGAAGAGAGAGAAAAGGCTTGGCTTAACAACTAGGTATGGGAAGTAGACCATCCTGGACTTTTAAAGAAAGACACAATCGTCACGCCTGCCATAGCGCAGCGTCGCAGCCCTCATCCAAACGCCCTGCAGAGTCCCGGACAATGCAGCGCGAGGTAGGAAAAAGCGTCTGCGTGACTGCACCTGCCACCCTCGCTCGTTTTCGTGTTCCACCTGTGACCCCCGGAGCCAATGGGAGCCCTTCCCAAGGGACTCTAGCGGGGTCAGGCGGAGGGGCCGCGGCGTTGGCTCTCGCTTGAACTCCGGGCTGACGCCGCCAAATAATCGGGGATTTGACGGGATGGAGGTGGGTCTGACCGGCCCGCTGGCTCCGGAGTAAGCTTCAGCTCCTTCCACGAGCAGCTCCGACATAGGTACACGGACACACAACTATCTACCCTGGGTACCAAAAGGTACAATCCAACAACGAATGCTGGGTGCATCACGCCTTCAAAGAACTTTTTAAATCCAGCAATTGTAACAATTCTTCCTAAGCTTCAACAAGTCTGGCATTCCTATTTTTGACCCAAAGCCAAGTATCATTGCCACCAAATAATTCCAATAATCCTTGACTCGTATACGCGTAAAGCCAACGAGTAATTTGCGGACCAGTTT